CCTATGTATAGATTAGATAACATATAAGACAGAATAAATAAACAATGAATTGATGAATGACTGAAAGAATAAATAAATAGGTTAATGGCAGAAATTTTAATTTATGGTCTATGAATTCATGCTTCAATATTCATCGTCCATGTTTTGTTTTTAAGTTAAAATAATTTTGAACAAATTCTCCACATCTCCGAATGATGCGTTTCCCTTACTGCTCGGTGACCTGTTCTCTTCTGTATTTAATTTTCTATTGTAAAATTGAAGTACACTGTAAGTCGCCAAAACCGAAATTGAAATTGAAATCTCATGTCTTTAGTTGATAAGTCAGAGAGGATAATGGTCGATTTGACGTAGGTCGCTCTAAGGACACAAGCGTATTATAGTTTACTTAGGCCTATCTCTATTCCTTGTACTATCTATAACATTAATTGAAAACGGTTATCTGCATATTATTATTATTTTTATTATTATTATTATTATTATTATTATTATTATAACTCATGGAATTAACTATTTGATATGAATATTATTGTTATTATTATTAAATTATTACATTTTACATTGTAGTTCTTTGTTTATTTTATCTTCATATCATAGCCATAAGTAGCAAGATTTGAGGAATCCATTAAAAATCCAAGTCATAAATGTCACTGCATTAGACCAAACCACTGTAAAATACAATTAAAATGTCCACACATAATTAACATCTTGATCATTCTAATTACTGTATGTAAAAGGAAAATCTGAATTGTGAAAAAGAAATGAAAGACTAATTAGACCTGTAAATGTTCGGCTTCTGACCGACATCATAAATATTCCATTGTTAACTTGTGTATGACGTTTTTAATTTAATGAGTTCATCTTTTCTAATGACTGGCTTTTAGGTTTAATAAGGGAAGCCCTTCGACTTCGTCTTTAGGCGTATACTTGGTCAAATCAGTGTCACATTATGTCGCCTAAAATGTCTTGTCATTGTTTTGTTTCTGTAAAGTTGTTTTAGTAAAATTAATGATGTCATATGATGATACGTATAGCTAGCTACATCTTAAGATTTTTAATACAAGATTATGTGTATTTTTTTATGGTTTTATGTTGCCCTTTCAAAATGGTAAATTTATATAATTTGAAAGTTGAAGGATACATTTACAGAAAAGGGGTCATTACCGGTAGCTCCAGAAACATTAATGTGTATAATATAGAATGCTATAAATTCGCTTTCCCTTTAATAGTCCCTTGCGTTAATAAAGATCTATTGAATAGGCCTATCGTGTCAAAAGGAACACGTATTAAACGAACCCGTATTAAAACGAACCATTGATTTTTGCACATGACCTAAATAATACAGCAAAAAGCATATGGCAGATCGGAATCTACTGTGATTTGCCTATTTCCGTCTAACCGAAACAGTATAGGCCTAAGCTTATACCATGACTAATGCACAGTATTAAAATAGTGTTTGAAAAAAATGTGGCATTGAAAGCATTGAATGTTTTTAATTGACCTTTCATGACTAATTGTGTTTTTGTTTTCTATTTTTTCTCCCCGACAAGGGGGGGGGGGGCTGTAGCCCTGTCTAGCTCACCACACCCCCCCCCCCATTAGCGCCGCCACTGGAGAAGTTCGATTTCGACAATCATACGCATAGTGTTAAGCGTTACAAATCATCAATTTTGTAAATATTTACAAGTTATACGGAACTATTATGAACTTGAGCCTATATTTGATAATTTTGGCATGGCCGTCACTCTATTGTAGGTCCTATAAGCAATTCAATATTGAAAGTGTAATGGATTTGACCTACAACTGATTCCTTCATACCGGTAATAGTTATTTTTTAAAATCGTTTCTTTAAAAAAATAGCGATATTACAATAAGACTCTACTCACATTTTACCGGTATATCATCAGCGCCATAGTGACAATATTGCTTGGTAACCCTGTAATAACTATCGCGGAACCAATCAGAAAATCTTGACATAATTTCAAATTAGTAAAGTGTATCTAAAGCAGCAGTATAATCGTGAACCGTCGTCGGTTCCACCTGGACGTATTCAGGAGCTGAAAGAGCTCGTATAATTACATAATCTAGAATGTCTTCGATACGTTACAAGAGAGTGCGAATAGGCCACTCCCGTATCCTAGTAAGAAAATTGAAACGTTCCGGCTTCGTCATGCAATATTTATTACCGAAGTAGCGCTAATTTCGGGCAGGTAGCGCAAACTTCCATCCGGTTGATAGAAAGATTCGAGCTTCCGTTTTTTTTTTATTTCAATGACAAAGGCATAGGCATACCTTTAAATTACTACTGTAGGGCCTACGCTAAATATCATCATCAAACATTTATACTTTTATGTGGGTGTGGTGGGGAAGATATTGAACCACTTGTCTCAGAATTAGATTTTGCTTCATAATGGAAACTCCTGCATAAAATTGTGCCGCGTATAATAATGTGTGATGTATAAGACACGTGATATTCAATTATGATATTTCTCGTGTCTTACATGTCGCGTATATTATACTTAATTCGTGATGTATAAAGTTGTCAACACTAACAAATTTGTATGTGACAAATTTGTGTAATAGGAATCATTATGTCTTAATTCACCCGAATATGGGCATAGGCCTATCACAATTTATTTGTCAAATTTGTTAGTGTGGGCAGCGCCTATACTCGTGATTTTCAACAATAAGATGTTTCTCTGCAGCAGTAGGCAATTATTGGTTTTATTGGACCAGGGAACAGTGTAATTTCACTGTTCCCTGATTGGACTAAAAGCTTTAAGCTTTGTTTCTAATGAAAACCCTCATTGGTATTGTTTTAATTGGGCCTATTAATGGTACTGTATCTATTACGGTATGGAAATAGTACCGTACGTGATGGTAGTTTATAGTCCGTAGTTCTTGTGCATTCAATAACAATATTGGACCGTTAGGTTTTAAGACGAACACATGACTCATGTGGGATATCCGCTTTTCATTAGTGTTCATATTCACACGGTGCTTATTCTTAAAATATCACAATGTTATAGTCTCTTCGTGTGTGTGTGTGTGTGTGTGCAGGGACGTAGCCAGGATTTTGAAAAGGGGGAGCCGTTATGCGAATTACGTAGGACTCGGCGGGGTCAAGGGGGGGGGAATCCCCCTGTGAAGTAGCGCACTCTGAACGTTCTTAGGACTGTTTGACAGGATAAAGTGAAAATTGCAATAGACGCATTATAAATAAGCGCAAAAATAATTATATAATAAATCAACAGTGGCAGATCCAGGAATTCAAAAGAAAGGTGAACCAGGGAGGGACATTCATAGACTGAGGAACCACTCACCTCAGCCCCACCATGGTTGGGGCTGAGGTAAGAAAATTTATGATTAGGGCATTTCTAGACGGCCGGAAATTACACTCTCGCACTTCAATTTGAATATATAGGGGGGGGTGCCGCGGCTCCCACGGCTCCCCCCCCCCTTGGATACGTCTGTGTGTGTGTGTGTGTGTGTATGTACGGTAATGGCAAAACCTGGAGTTTATACCCATGGAGGTATTATAATACCTCCATGGTATACCAAAGTAGTAGCATTTTACTCCATGATAGTAGCCACCAAACTGTGGGTATCTGTTAACGACATCAAAGCACACAACAAATATTCAATAAGGTTTTAAAAGCTCTGTCCTCACCTATGCAATATTATGTGAACAAAAAAATTGGATATACCGATATTTGGTTGGGATATCATCATGCCCTAATTTTTTTTTATTATTTGTGTTTTTATTTTCCAATTATTTACATAAACTAAGTATTTGGTATTAACAATAAACTTCAGAATAAAAATAAGTAAGCAATAGGCCTATCATGTTAAATCAACTGGTGTTAAAGAAAAAACAAACATATTGAATACTTTCAAAGTGAATTGCTAAAACAAAAACTATTTGGCATTTTGATAACATCATTGTCCTAAAATTTTTTTATTGTAAAAATTCTTTAGTTTATAATTTTTTTTTTCTAGTACTTGCATTATTGACAGTAAGATAGTACTTTTTATTATTATTTTTTTGTTTTTAATTATTCTTAATATCATTACCATATTGCCAAAAAAGTTTAATTCACAATACACATAGAAGTACGTACACATCTCAAATTACCAATATATACTTTAACAAAAAGTTCTGACCGAATAGCATATTTGTATGATTATGTTTACAGTGAATGTCACATATCACAAAATCATGCCATATATGGGCACATCTCACAAATTTGCCACAAAAATATTGACAGTGTGACAGAGATTAAATCTGTGGGGCTACAGTATTACCAAAGTTTCAAAAGTTGATTAAAAAAAAGTATATTAATTTTGGATCCGCGCAAGGCGCTGACCCCAGAGCCTCACTGCTGTCTTGTTCATGTTACCAAAATTTTTAAAGCGTCCCGCGTCCCAAGTTTTTAACGGACGTGCAGGAAATTGTGTACACATAAACTAGAGGTGATTTTCAACAAACGTTCGTCGCCCTTTTTTAAGTTGGACTCCATGGTTCCCCCGACACCTACACAACAGGGGTTTCAGCAAGACTGTACATTACTGCTATTACCACTAACAGGGCACGTAACATGGATGTCGCGGTCGGTTGACGATGTGTTCTAAAGAACTTAAAGTTGTGTGTTCGAATCGCGTCTAGGTCATCACTTTTTTTTCCTCAATTTTAAGAAATTATTTTTTTTTTCTTCAAATTTTAAGATAGGCCTTTTTTTAATTTTGTACAAATAAACATTCTAAATATTTTTTTGTACAAATAAACATCCTAATTATTTAAAAATTTCTATCTTATGAGCTCTGCAAAAACACCCAATGTAGTAACTTTTGCCTGTACCGTATTTAAGCGTGGAGGAACGCGCGGACAGGTGAGTGGTTGCTCTTGATTTTAGGGCTATGTATTATATGTTTCAATTCGCTTCATTCTTGACACAGCATTCAACCTTGTATTTGCCTATCACTAACCATGGAGGCACTAACTGATATCGGAAAATCCAAGGTCTAGCCTTGTCCTATAAATTATAAAGGCAAGCAATCTCACACCATTTTGACAACATTTACCTAACGTCTGATTAGCTGATAAAAAGCTCTGTTTCAAATTTTATGAAAGTTCACAAAACATTCAGACGATTTCCATATAAATTAGAATAGAAATGTAAGTCATATTTTCATATCGTAAGCCTAAGCCTGTGTTTAAATTTTCAAAATATTTGAAACTCGATTAGTCAACATTTTCAAAACTAAAAATGGACTTTCCAGGGTCTCAAACTTAATCGAACAATCAGAACAGGGCCAGAAGCTCACTTCCGACAACCACATACGTCACGTGTATACCTTACGCTTAGTACGCAATTGGACCTTAGCAACAATAGGAGTTTTCGCCGCACGACGGTTAGGCAGTTTTCGCCGCACGACGACCTTAACTTTAACGTTAGTACTCAACATGCAACGCGATCTCCGCCCCTTTTGTAAACAAATCGAAATACGAATGCGCAAACTCGTAATTAACGTATGTCGAGCACGTAAAATCCAGAAATTAACGTACTCCGCAACGCAAAATGAATAAATTATGACGTCATCTGTTAACGTTAAGGTTAACGTCGTGCGGCGAAAACTAGGTAGGCCTGGTTTTCGCCGCACGACGTTAAATTTAACGTTAGTACCCAACATGCAGCGCGATAGCTCCACCCCTTTTGTAAATAAATCGAAATACGCATGCGTAAACCCGTAACTAACGTACGTCGAGCACGTAACATCTTTAAATTAACGTACTCCGCAACGCAAGATGAAATTATGACGTCATCCGTTAACGTTAGGGTTAATGTCGTGCGGCGAAAACTACCTAATATCCAAAGATGGTAGCACCTGCATAAAAGGTCCATTGGTATTCCAGATGATCACTAAAAACCCTCAATTTTCATAGGAAGTCTTTTCAAGGTTTTTCCCTTTACGACATAGGCCTAATCTGATTTGTTTTTTTCTTGCTGGGCCTATTTCACTTTCTAGTTTGTCTCAGTAATTATTATAGCATGATAAGTATAACACTTGGGAATAATTAATTAACTAAACAACCATAAGGTGTTATAGATATGAGTATGAAATACAGTCAACCGTAAATGGGAAGCTTTTAACATAGAATATCACAATATAAGCCTAGCCTTTTTCCCAATAGGCCTAAGCAGAGTGTGAAGAAAATTCCAAACGTTTACCATATGATGGCAGTGTTACTTCGTGGAGTAATGAAACATGAACATTCCAAGTTCAGTCAATATTACAGTACAAAGTACACTTTGTCAAATACGACAATTTGCTAGAACAAACCACGCAAAATGTAGTTTTGACTCTGCTCCTAGTTTAATTCTGCATGTCTAAGTTTAAAATAACTAGCGTTAAGTTAGTGCATCGGAGTTTTATTTTGGTGGGTTGAAATAACGGTCTTATAGGCCAACAATGGGATCACATAATTACAGCTAATGCTAACTTTATTTCAAAGCACTGAAGTGTTCATTTCTGGAAATGAAGTCTGAAAAGTCTGCAATTCTAATAGTAAACTAATTTTTCTAAATTATGTCTACATCTCGAGAAAACGTGAGGTTAAGTGTGATTGGGTAATGAATTGTCAGGAGAGTGGAAATAGTAAAGTTGTGAGGCTACTGACCAGAGTAGGACAAGCAGAGGAAGATGACTCAATCTGCGTGTAACATGCTCACGTGAAACACTGAAAAGTCAGCCGTCAGTGCTTTCGTATTTTATAGGTTGGGCAAAATACTGTCCCTCATTGAAAATGTTGATCGGTATAGAAAAACTCGGAATGTGTCCGGAATAAATTACATTACGTTAACAAGTATTTAAATAGAAACACATTTTACCGATGGCGGTACTAAAATGCGTCATCATAGCATCATTAAGCGTATAAGAAGAGGGGATCTCATCCCGTGGCTATGCTTATCCAACTTTAACCTTGACTTTGAAGTATCATTTAATATATTAATTTACGCATGGAAGGTATTAAATATACAGCAGAAGTTCCCAGGCTTAAATCCCAGTTGGGATGACTTTTCCTTCATA